GGCGGGCCGCGGCGGGCCCCCCCTGCCACTCAGCCTGGCTGGCTCGGCCATAGGCTGCCGGGAGCAGAGTGGGCGGGGCTCCTTCCCCCTCCTGTGACTAACTAAAGTCTGTGAGTCACTGCACAACCCATCAATCCCATTAAATGCCGTGTGCGGGCAGGCGGCGCTGCCTGGGCTGCTCCCTGCGCTGCCCTAGCCCCCGTGCATGGGCTGCCGCCGCTTCCCCCCTCTGATACATGGCTGGCTGGCTGGACTTGTTACAGTGTCACCTCCTGCCCGCCAGCTGCAGCACCAACTTCCCCCCCAGCTAGTCTCCTCCTGCCCGGGGCTGTTGCAAAGTGATGGGATAGAGAGAAGCCGCTCCAAGCACCTGGGCTCCTATTTATTAGTCTGTCTCCCTGTCCTATTCCTGGGTGGTTCTTCTTCCTCTCTTCCCTTTCCCCTTCTTTATTTTATTCCTCCTCCCTCCCTCTCCCCTTGCCTTGGAGCCTGGATCTCTTGAGTTCTTCTGGAAAGGGTGAGTACAAGGCATGGCCTTTCTGACTTAACATTTTTGAGTGGCACCCTCTTTTTTTGGGGGGGGGGGAGTATTTTCTGGAGCCTGGGCTGTGCTGGTTGCTTATTCAGTAAATATCTAGAAATAAAATGGGGGTGGAGAGAAGGGTATGTGATCAATATATTTAATACTGCTACTTACTATTTATCTGTTGCAAACTATTTAAAAGTTGAATTGATGTCTTTGAAGCTAACTCTGATATGTCTCAACGGTGATACTTTTTATTCCTCCTTATCTTATTTTACTCCCACTCCCTTACTCCCATCTTGTCTGTCCAGATCAAGATTTTATTAAAAAATACTTCATAAAGTATCTGCAACCCTTAAATGTCTATAGATATATTCACTGTTGTGAAATAAAAATATTTCTTATTGAGACTGGGGAAAAAATGATGTAATAGATATTAACTTTTGAAAGTAATTCATATTGCAGTGTATTTTGATGGAGCACTAGACAACTCACTGTCCAAATCATACTGCAGCTCAAATATTGTGCTGTGTGTACATTTATTAAAATGAAACCATGAAGTAGTTGTCAAGCATTTGAACCCATAACAAACAAGGAAATTAATTTGTTCTACCACTGTATCTTCAGCAAACTCTGATCTGTTTACGTATTTCAACACACATGGAATGTACAAGCCTTATTTCTGAATCACAGGGAAATGAGTGTATCCAACTGGAGTGTTAGCCTTCAACTTCAATTTGAATGTCCTTTTGGTAGATTAAACTCAAATTCAAAATATTAGTGTAAAATAATTGGACTTGGAGTTTTTGTATTGAGTGTTGAATATCTAATTAAAAATGACACTGGAGCATGCATTTGTGCTTTGTGTAATCATAATATCCAAAGTTGCTAAAATAAAAAAATCTTACATCGCACCCCCAACAAGTAGTTACAGTGCATCTTCAGAAGATACTTTCCAAGCCTCACAACTTTGCCCATCTATATATAACATTATTTTAAATAGACTAGTAACTCACAGCAGTCAAACCGGATGAATGAAGCAGTTTTGAATTGTTGTGTTTACTTTCTTTCAACACCTTAACATTGTCTCTGTCTCAAGTCTAAAAACAGTCAGTAGGAATTTTCACTAAACTTTGTGAAAATACATGATTGGTGCTAGACTAAGATCTGGTATACCAAGTTTCAACAGTTTATTTTAACATAAAAGAGATGAAATCAAGATCATTTACCAAGTGAGGCTTACTGGTTACGGTTAACAGGTGAGGGCTGGAGCAACCCCTTGTTCCCTGTGGGGAGAGACTTCTCCAGCCAGTGCGGGTCCACAGCCATGGGTGCTCCAGCCTGGCTGGAGTAGCCCCTACCTGCCCCCATTTAAACAGTTAACTGGTTAGCCATAACATTTAACAGATTAAACAGGGTTTTACATCCCTAGTGACACTGGGTTTCATTTCAATAGATTGCAGCTGTTGTCCAGAGACTCTAAAATTGAGCATGTGAGGAAAAACATCAATTGTCATCCATGATATTGTAAAAAGAAAGAAGAAACTTAGATTGCTGAGATACTAAATTCAGAATGGGAACACTATTTGCTTTTTTCCTTAATTTTTGTGTGTGACAGTTATGAGATACAAATCATTGCTTACTTAACACGGTCCTAGTCTGTGTACTTACAGCAAATGTGAATTTGTCCAATATGCTTAAAGCTTTTTAAAATACCTGTGTTGCTCTCATGGGGGCCCTTTTATATATGGCCATTTTGAGTTAATATTTTGTAGGCCTGTTTCTCCTTTCTTAGTGGTTATCATTCCCATCTAGATGGGAAGTTTAGAATCCAATGTTGTGGTGTTGTTTTTTAAGCCTACAAATACCTACTTACATGACAAACTGTGATTCCAGCTCTTCTCAAAAGTAGTTCTGCTACTCTTACTCACGTGTAATATTTTACTACATGAGTAGTCCCTTTGATTGCTGTGTGACTACTTGCATACTAAAGTACCAAACATTGAGAATAAGGGTAACAGAATCAGGTTCTAAATACTTAACTTTTTCCTTGAAATAAGAATATACTAGATTAGTGATATTTCTTGAGGTCATGGTGAGATCTTCGGATAACTAAGCATGAGGTTATTCTAATAAATGATCACACCAGAAATAACTGGTTGAGATGATGCCTATACTATAAATGAAATAAGCAAGTACGTTTCAGGGTGTTTTGATGCGGTGGACGGTAGAAAAATATTGTGACTTCTGGTATGTTGTAATGAAATTCTGTGCTGGAGGGAAGTTTAAATACTGAAGGTCTTGCAGGAGGAAAGTTGGTAATGCTACCGAAATACAATTAGAGGTATTTTTCACATGACATGAAGAATTTTATTGTTTTCAACGAGAGTAGAAGCAGTTTAAGAGTAGTTGATATTGTAGGGAGTGTTCACAACTCTTACTTCTCTGACTTGCCTCTCTCTTAGCAAAAAGACCTGTGGCAAACAAGCTATTAAGATTTAAAAAAACTTGTCTAGTGAAGTGGTGGTGTATCTTGCCATGATGGATTACATGTACTTTTTATAAATCTCCTGAAACTCGTGTTGGGCACTCTTCAGAATGAAAGACAATTATTTCATGTTTGTTTCATGTTTTCACTTCCTTTTATGACTGTCTTCATGGTTACGTGTTTGTGTCACTGATTGCAATGTCACTGTAATTAACATTAATTATGCAAACTAGATTGCGTTTAGAGGCACTCCAACTCTGTATTGATACTATCATCTCTTTTGTTGGTTAAACAAGAATGCAGATATTTCAGGATGCTGGAAGAACTATAGCTATTATAAAATAGTGTCTGCACAGAAAACAAAAGCAAATACAACTTTTAGGTCAAATATTGTATCAAGTTTTTATTTGGCAGCACTGGTTAATCACACAGTTTGATTTGAAACCCTGAGACATAGTAAACAAGGATACAAAATGGAAGTAAATGTAATGATTCTATGTAGACTTAAGAGTTTCACTATATTCTTTGTAGAATCGTGCCCAATAATATCTGTAGTCCTTATTTGAATAAACTTTCCATTTAAGTATGTGAAAATTTTGCCTGCTTAAGGAAAACAGAATTTGGCAGGTAATGAAGTGCTAGCTTTGACGAAACAAACTGATAGAACAGGCAACTTTTTGCTTAATTCTTTTTTCTTTTTCTTTTCTTTTTTTTTTTTACAAAATTTTTTTTGCTTTGTTGTCTCTAAAAAACCTCCACTCAGCATAAAGAGTGATATTAGTTTTGCACACTAATTTTTCTAATTAGAAGTGCTCCTAGAAAAATGATCGTCTAATCATGTTTTATACAGAGAAAGTATAGTAATGTTATCAGAATTAATTCAGATTAGCTACAGTGAAATTAATAGAAATTTTTAAATCTGACTTTGAAATGCCTCAATGAAATACATGAGAATTGAGTGATTCATGTTAGATTTTAAATAGACATCATAATTGCAGGGATAATTGTGGTTTTATATTCATAATATACTTACAGAAGAAATACCATGGCAGAGGAAGAATTTAAATTGGAATTCTTACACTGTAAAAATTCTAAGGTGTTGGTGTGCAAGTATACTATAAGATACTGGAAAACTATTTAGTTTTCCGCTGACTTTCCACACCAAGTAATCAAGAATTTGTTTGCAGTTTATATTAGGCATTTGTCTTCTGTGCAAGACTATCAGTGTAGTAGTCTTCTGGAAAGTTAAAAACAGGATTCTGGGCTCTGAGATGTGGAGCTTATATAGTTAAATTGGAAGATTCCACCGTATTCAAAAATTACCATTTAGCATTCTAGTGAGTCTGTTAAGTCATGGAGATGATTTTATGAAAATCAATAAAATGCTTCCCCCCCTCCTTATTGTAGAAGCATCTTCAAAGTAAAAGATGTTATTTCTTGGTAGCATTTCATATTGGCTTGATAAATTCTTAATTTAGAAAGACATTCTCTTCAGTTTAGACAATACATGTAAAGATAAATATTTTTTGCTTTTGGCCTTTTTTTAAGTGTCTTTATTAGCTTGCCTCACAGAAATCACATTCACCTCCAGACCTGTAAGTGATTTCAGTGTGTCTGTCAGCAGACTCAAGAATGAAGGTCACTTATTTTTCAGATGACCTCCTGGCCTGACATTGGTTCCTGTTGCCCAAATGCTGTATATTTCTTAACTCCCGGCTTTTGGTTCCATGCGCATGCTCTTAAGTAACACAGATGTGTGGAAGATCCCAAAATACCAGGATGTGATGTACCCAAAGTAAATTTGAAAGAGAAATTGTGACCTTATCTACTTTAGGGGGTGAGGTGGAAAGAGTTGGTATTGACCTCTGCAGAACCTGTAGTATGTGTTATAGCCTTTTCTTGCCTCAAAGGTCCATCTGTTCTGCTATTAGCAGAACAAGTAACAAGGTAGTTTATCACATTAAGTACTTGTGGAGAAAGAAGTGACAAATTGACAGTGTCACTCTGTAGCATGTATGAAACATTAAGTATTGGTGATTTGATGATCTATTTCAGGTCAGGTCTACACTGGCAGAGAAAATAGATGTAAGATACACAATTCAGCTATGCAACAGTCACAGCTAGAAGTAGACACACCCTAATTTTTTTTTTCTGGGGCAGCCCCCTCATGGGAGGTTGATGAGAGAAACTCTCCCATCGACTTCCCTTATGACTGCGAGGAGTGCTGCAATTGATGGGGGCATCCTCAGTGTTCAGTTTAGTGGGTCTTGTCTAGACCCCCTAAATTGAACCCCGGAATATCAATCGCCAGAGCTTCAATCCTTTGGTAAGTATTCAAGCCCTTAAAAGGGACATTAAATGGGAGCTATTCACCCTTAATGTTGGGACTCAGTTTTGCAACTGAAATCAAAATTACTATATTAAAACAGGAGAACTTATTTAAAATCTCCTGAGTGTTATGACCCCAGATACTCCAAAGGGTTATTCAAGCAAGATAAGGTACTCT